CCCCCCCAACTGCCAGTGGACTGTTTCATTGCACTGCGCCTGTGCAGACAGGGTACAGGAATATGGTAGACAAACTGTCATGTGCGAGCATCGCAGGGAGCAGGCAGGACCCAAATGCAGTACTGGAGAGACTCTTTCTGGTGCAGGAAGTTTTATTAACAAAGTCCAAATTAACAAAACACGAAGAACTAACCTGCATGGAATTCTCGAGGAACACGAGGAAAACACGGGAACACGAGGAAACACAGAGTAGGAAACTCACGAACACGAAGATCTAACACAATCACAATGATCCAACACGGACAGAGTGAGGGAGAGGGGTATATATACACAGGGAACACCAGGTGACACAAGTGAAGCTAATTACCAAACAGGTGAGTGTGATCCCATGATTACCCCACAAAGAACACAGGAAAACACGGAAACAGACAGACATGACATCTAGTTCACACTCACGACTCAGTGTCTCTAACACACACACACACACTCAACAAATTTATTCATGACAGGCAGGAAGCCTGGGAGCAATTTTGTGAACAACTACTGTTGCTTTAAAAAAATACCATCTAACCTTTAAAAAGAGTTGGTATACACACACCCTGCAGTCACAGGCAGTATTACTACAGGCTAACAGGAATACATCGTAGGTTTCTTATCACTTCCTTTAGACAGAAATAGTTCTGACATATAATAGGGCAAGACTTGCACAATCTAGGAATGCTAACCGTTCTAATGAGTTCCATGTCTGTCTCTAAAAGCCAACAGGATCGCTGCTCGTCCTCCAATACCCACCATCCGCAGAACCCTGTCTTTGGACGCCATTGTTGGACCCTACCTGCAGGGGCAGTGGCCCAAAGAGGCCGAGACCACCGCCGTTACCTGTGTCAATGACAAAGCCACACAGGTGAATATCAGACAGTGCCAATAATGGGGGTTTACTATGCCTCTATTCAGGGGTCAATAATAAAATTTCAGTGAGTGTTCTATGGAACACTGAATGGAGCTTTCATACAAGCATGTTTAAAAGAAAATTTGATCTGACATTTGCACTGCAGGTGTCTTCTGGTTGCAGTTCCACATCGTGAGTAGAAGTCAGCCAACTAGAAAAAAATAGTTTTTGTTCTTCCTTAAAGTCTGCTGTCGTTTTCCTCACCGCTTCTCCACCCCCGCCCTCAACTGTATCTGCTCCTAACTGGTGCACAAAGGCCCCCGACTCCCATCACCAAGCTCTGCAGCTTCGTCTTCGCTGTTGACACAGTTTTAACCCAAACGAACCCCCTTTGCCTCCATTGTGAGGAAAAGACCCTGCCTGACCTCATTATACAGACACCCCATCCCCCAGCATTCTCCTCAACCACACACCCCACCCTCCTGCCACAGTTCGTCTACGTTACTTCAGATGATGTAACTGATTGTCTGCTTTTATGTGGTAGTCCTTGTGACTTTATTCATCAAAGTCTAATGCAGATAGTGTGCTTCCAAATCATTTTGATACTGGTGTTTATTGATGATCAGGATCTTTGATCAGATATGCTGCAGCACATCTGAGAATGACACGAATGTCATTCTGAGGAGCAGCTGCTACAGATACAAAAACGCGAAATTCAATTATTTAAGTCAATTAGGTTGGGGACACAAGGTGATTAAAACTGAAAACCATCAGCTTTTGCCACTTAAGCTGCTGGTTCAACTCCCTCACTGTGTTTATGTCCGCAGTTCAGGGTGAAAATTGAATAACAGTCCATGAATCAAACATCCTGTCCACATGCTATTCTGGAGTCTTTTTATAGATTTGTGTGCCATGATACCCTGGTCATGTTTTGATGAGGGTGGGGCGGCTGCACCGTGAGGCGTTAGTGGCTGTAACTCTACCCCAATGTTACTCTATGACTGACTCATGCTGCGTTCTGACATATTTAGCCTAGTGATATGCTGCTTCCAATCCGACCGGACAGAAGACGAGACAGTGTCTGTGTTTTCCTGCTAGCAGCTGCGGCACCAGACGAGTGTCTCCAAGTTGTGTGCTCCGTGCATCAAGAACGGGTTGGTCATTTTGGAGAGCAGCGGTCCTTGACGTAACCGCGCTTCAAGGCTGAAATGTAAAAAATTGTAACATTAACTGTCTCACGGACGTCATGGACACCAGTAAGTGGATGGGAGTGTTTGTTGGATCATCAGGAGCAGTTGACTTTAGGAAGGAGAGGTGAGAGTGGCAGAACTGTCAAGCATCTGCTGATCTGCTGGTCAACTCTCTCTGGTGATGATGAGTTTCCAGTCACTTGCACCCAACCAACAACTGGCAGCGATCAACCAAACACCCCCTGCTAGAAGATCAAGAGTCAATGTGAAGAAATCGGTACAAACAGAAGAGTGTTCAGTAAAACCAGACAGACTTTAGAGTTGGTTGTTTGTTCTTTATATTTAAACTTAAACTTAAACTTAAACTTATCTTTATTAGTCATATATTTACATAAACTTATCTTTATTAGTCATATATTTCAGTGACTGCATAACAGCTACTTGTGTGATTTTGTGAAAGTGTAGTGGTGTGTTGTATGCTGGTACTGGCAGTGTATTATATATAGTTTTTTTGCAGTGATGTGGTTTGGATGTTTTTGCAAGTGTGTGTGTAAGAGGAGTTGTTTTGCAGCTCAGAGTGGTTGCTTTCATTGCCTTGTTCTGTACAGCTGCTGTGGGCCAGGTGTGCAAGACAGCTGTGGTGTTGTGGTGACAACTGTACTGTTTGGTGGAGGTGGTTTTAGTTCACTGGGTTTGAGAGAAAATATGGTTAAAGGTTCATCTTGATGAGAGGCAGAAAATGGAAGTGGGATTCACTAATTTTACTATTTCAATGTTTTTTAAGACTCCAACTTCCTGGGCAGAGGAGATCCAGGGCAGGAGGTGTGTTGGTGGACACAAGCGCTCGGCATCATGGGGGAGCGCAGAACACCTGAGGGAGGCAAGTTCATTACATCAACATGTCATTGATCTCACACTTACAGTCTTCACAGACATTTAATATAAGCTGCCCCAGATGGAAAAGTAAGAAACTTCAACTTCTTGTTCAAAATGTAATAATTTCAGAGCTTTTTTCCATTCTGCCCTCAGGTGGCCAAACTTAGACACCAGTTGCAGAAGCGCTCCCGCCATGCACCTCCCCCTGCAGGGTTCGAGCTCCCCCATCATTCTCAGCTGCCAGCCAGTTATGCAGCTGGCGTCATACAGGTGAGCGTGCTTTTTTTTCATAGACAAGACACAAAGCATGTTTTTCACTGTGACTGTAGATGTCGGTTTGGCAGGCGGAGCATCGTAACATGATATAAAAAATACTAGTGCTTTTCTTAGAAGTGCCTGTCGTCACAGCTCCTGTATTGCTGCCATGCAGTCACCGAGAAACAATTTGAAACC